AAATTGTTCATTTTTTGATTAAATTTTTTCAAACTTTTTTGTATTAAAAAAAGTTTTTTGTAACAATTTTTCAGATTATCAATAACATAAAGTCGCTGTATGCTTGATTCGGTGGCGCGAAACTGAAGGCCTGCTATGTTGGGAGGGACTGGGTTACTATTCCATACCCACACCCAGTCGCGGCGGCAGAAGAAGCATCGTCTAGCCCTGGGCTGCCACGGACGGCAGCCGAGTCGGCGAGTCTACTAGGGAAGCTCTCACTCCTTCTTATTCTTCGACCTTTGTTGTCCCAGTCGGCGGAAGCAGCCAACCCGGGGAGAGCCTCACTAGGAAGCTGTCGACCCTTGCAGCCCAGAACTAGACGCCACTTCTGCAGCCATCCCTTAGAGTAAGCAACCAGTCGACAAAGCCAGTCGGCTTCGTTTCTAGTTATTCACCACGGCCGCAACTTTCGTAATATTGTAGTCACGAGACGACACCCGAAGCAATGCAGGGAATTGGCTCCCTATGTTGGGAGTGACTGGGTTACTATTCCATATCCGCACCCAGTCGCGGTGGCAGAAGAAGCGTCGCCTAGCTCTGGGCTGCCACGGACGGCAGCTGAGGCAGGCAAGTCTACTAGAGAGGCTCTAGCTCCTTCTTATTCTGCAGTCTTTCCTGTTTCTTCTAGTTTATTAAGTTTATTTTTATTTTCATTCTTTTTTCTTTCTCTATTTTTTATTTGATTACTTTTTTCTTTTCATCAAAACAATTTTTCACTTTTAGAGATCCAGGAAGAGGCTCAAAGGGTGGAGTCCACAAAGCATACCGAAGTCGCTTATTTGTTCACTTTTGCTTATAAAATGACTACACTCGGCGACTATTTTTGTTCTATTCAAAATCTGGCTTGGCTGAATTAATTGGAGCGCAAAAAAGCAGGCCAAAGGGTGGACCCCACAAAGCATCCCGCGATCGCTTATTTGGTCACTTTTGCTTATAGATTTGCTACATTTGGCTACAGGTTTTGGAGAGGTCTTGGTCTGATTTATTTTGCTGCCACGATTTTACCTGGTGGCACGACCTTGGCAGCACCTAAACAGCACTAGAAATAATTTTGCTGCCACCCTTCCACCAGTAAAGAAAATATATTATATATATATATCTATATTTTTAAAAAAGCTTATGGATAGTGGTGGCAGCAAAAATGCTTTCTAGTGGTGTTTAGGTGCTGCCAAGGTCGTGCCACCAAATTAATTCGGGGAGCAAAAAAAAAGGACGAATTGATCATAAATTGAAGATTAAGAAAATAAGAAAACGCTCATCAAATCTAAAAAAAAATATTCAAAATTGTTCATTTTTTGATTAAATTTTTTCAAGCTTTTTTGTATTAAAAAAAGTTTTTTGTAACAATTTTTCAGATTATCAATGACATAGAGTCGCTGTATGCTTGATTCGGTGGCGCCAAACTCACGGCCTGCTATGTTGGGAGGGACTGGATTACTATTCTCATATCCACACCCAGTCGCGGTGGCTGAAGAAGCATCGTCTAGCTCTGGGCTGCCACGGACGGCAGCTGAGGCAGGCGAGTCTACTAGAGAGGCTCTTACTCCTTCTCACTCTTCGACCGTTGTTGTCCCAGTCGGCGGAAGCAGCCAACCCGGGGAGAGCCTCACTAGTAAGCTGCCGTCCCTTGCAGCCCAGAACTAGACGGCGCTTCTGCAGCCATCCCTTAGAGTAAGCAACCAGTCGACAAAGGCAGTCGGCTTCGTTTCTAGTTCTTCACCACGGACGCAACTTTCGAAATATACCTGAGGAAAACGAAAGCGAGGAGGCAGATTTCTAATGCACCAGAACCACAACGCCGACGCTACACCAGACCACTGTGGAGAACACTAGTAGATATCCAGTCTTGCGGTGAAGCATCTTCTGGACTAGGAGAAGGACGAGCAATCTTGGGCAGAAGTGAAGAGATCCGAAATCGCACTTATCCACCTTTCTCATCATCTGAAGTCGAACCCAAATGGTTCCCATCTATCTCCAATCATATTCCACCAACGCAAGGAGGACGCTATAGATCATTCAAGCAAGGGTAGAAGTGTTCCATTTTTCTATTATTCAGGTATATTACATTTGCAAATCATTTACTTTCGAGATTCTCCTTTGAAGTAGGAGACTCATGTGATCCCACTCAGTTGGTTCCACTTAAACGCTGCCAGTTGTGCTTCTTCATTTACATTATTTGACTTGATACGCAATATAGATAAACTATTGTAAGTAAGTGCCTCCATTCTACTCCTAACATTTAGTCACGTTTGTGATTACCTCGATTCCACTTCTAATATTTAATAATGTTAGTAACTACATCGATTCCACTTCTAAAATTCACTTATGTTAGTATCTACTTCGATTCCACTTCTAATATTCCTTTCTATCGTTTCTCTGATGAAGATTCTATGACACAAAGAGCCTTTTCCTGCCGTGCCACCGAGGCCCACCCTCCAAAGAGTGAGGGACAGACTGAATTTGGACTCACCAGGGATTTCATACACTCGCACTCCCTTTGGAGGGTGCGCATCGGTGGCACGGCAGGGGAAGAGAATGGGTAATGGTTTAGTTGCAAGTTGAGTAAGCACAAGGAAGATAGTCTCTATAGTGATTTTTTCAAAAATGAACTCAGGAAGATACTCCTTGAAGTGGAATCCTGAGACTCCTTGAAGTGGCATCAGTATTCAAAAAAAATGTATTTGATAGAGGGCCCTCAAGGTAATTTTATCCTGCATGAGGCGGGACGAGTGGGAGTATGTAAATCTTGGAAGGTGGTCAGCACTGGATTGCTTTGTGTCAGTTCGTGAAATTATTAATATGAATGTCAACGCAAGTTACTGTGTCCACCTGAATTCGTAATATTGTGTTTTATATTGTCAAACTTTTGAGGAAGGGAAGAGCAAAGGACTTCATCTATTGAAGGAGGAAACTCTTGAGAACAAAGGACTTCATCTATTGAATTCTTGAGAAGGAAACTGAAGAAAAAATGGCCGACGTCTCCTCGTGCTGTGCAAGGAGGAGTTGGCCATGATGCGTCATTTGTTGGCGTTTTGGATGTGCTGTTGAGTTGAATTAATTTGGATGCTTTCTTCCATGTTGAGGGAGTCGGTTGGTGTTAGTATGCAGTTGCGCACGGCTTCAAAGATCCAAAATCTTCCTGAAAAAGATCTTGCATTCTGCTACTCGGTATCTTGTCGCGCACAGTATCAGCGTTAAGCTAGGACAAGGAGTGGCGTAGTTGTCTTGTGAAAAAATGGCTGATCTATTGACTCATAGTATACGACTCTCTTTAGTTTATTGAAGCCTTGCCTCTGGTTCATCCTATTTCCAGCTCTAAACTGTTTCAGAGAAGGCGAGGCTTATAAAATTATGTCTCGTAGAATGTTTGTAGTTTGAGATTGATGAATAAACAAGCTTTGAAGAAAGCAAGCTCGAGATAATAATTCTTGAAACTTTGCTGAAGTAAATATAAACACGCCAAAGATACTAGGACACCTGTAAGAAGGAAAAAAAAAAATGAGTTTGGAGGTCGGTAGCGACATGCTTTCGGGGGGCGAGTCTTCTGTGTGTAGCATGGAAGAGGTCGACTATGATGCCGCCTCGGAGAGTAGCCGGCCGGCAACCGTTATTGAGTTGCGTCCTAGTGAGTGGAAAAAACTTTCGAGGAGGAGCAAGGGCCGGCGAACCTATTTAAGACGGAATCCGTCAGCTATTGCCGCGCGGCCGTGTGTTACATCTTGAGAAATTTGCTCGAGAATGCATGGCCTTTGGTGATTGAGTTCTATCAATTCTGGCAGAAGTGGTTGCTTATGCCTGATGAGGAGAAGAGGAGTGGTGGGGAACATGCGAGCGAGCAAAGAGGGAAACTCCGGACGATGATGGGGCACTTTACTTTAAGGCGAGAATCCTCAGGCTTTGTTCCATTATTTATCCTCTGATAAAATAGAAAAAAATGGCTAGAGATAATAAAGCGTAGCCGAGTAGGACACATCTCCAGAGAGTCCTGAACTACAAGAATGCCGCTCAAGAAGCACACCCCTCCGCGCTTACATCTGAAGGATGGAGTCAAAAAGTGCGAGCTTTGCTGGGGCAAATTTCACTGGCGTGGTGTGGCTTCGCACGAGAAAAGTTGCGAGCGTATTAGATATTGCGTGACATATTGACGCCATAGATGCTGTCTGAGCAGCTCGAGGCACGTACCACGAGGGCACGGCTTGGCTTCCTAGTGCGCGACTTTACGCCACACGCGCGAACATTAAGCACGCACCTAATTCGGAGGCATCTAACGGCTCACATAACGCGTAGTGTCCTGTTGCTTGCAGTTTTGTGGTTTCAGTTGGGTCTTAAAAGCGTACTAGCTCTATACCTAGGTGTGTATCTCCCTTCGCGCGGTCAGGGTATCTCGATACTCAATACACTTGCACTAATGCTCACGCGTGCTTTTACTAATGGACGCGCTTCAATGGTCAGAGCACGGCTGTTGAGCCGCAGCCCTTGCGGCAGGTCCAGAGTTACAGAGTATATGACACAGAAGCCATAGATTAGGTAACTGTGTGCCCTTGTGCATTGGTTTCGATTTCCCGGCAATGCAGCGTAGTACTGAACTGCCAGCCGTCGACCGTCGGACTCCAGCGCACCGCGTGTGAGCTAAGAGATAAGGGGTTGCCGGAGTTTCCAAATACTGCATGTCGACCATTGCGCCGGATTCGGTTTGCCTGGCTACTGAAATTAGTTCGGCATATCCCACTACTCAAACCTTCGACGTCATCGCTGCAGACCTGCGCCGTGCGCTTGTTACTCGGATGAAGCGCTGTGCTATGCGCGTAGTCGAGAATGAGTCTTGCCATCCACGTTCTCTTACTGCTTCGATTATCAAAGTTACCACCTACGCCTTCCGTGTAGTCTAACGCTTCTTGAGCGCGGAACTCGCTTGCCAAGTTTTCTGGTATATATAATTGGCCAAAAGATGAGTATCGGCGTGCAGAATCTATAAACTCGGAGACCTGGCTCGAGTATTGTCGCGGAGTTACAGGGTCATGCATCATGTTCAATTCCTGCCACCCATAGCCTCTGCCCAGGTCCCATTGCCTGACAGGCGGATTGGTAATGGTGAAAGCCCCATCTTCTAAGTCCCGCACTAAAAAACCGTAGACATGTCGCACACGCGCTTGCCAGTCAGCATGTGGCAATCGGCACAACGGTTCGCCTGCGGCGCTAGTCAGTTGCGCTCTCGCTGTTCCGGTTTCATTGTCGACATTTACGAGATAGAGTCGCGGTCGAGGTTGGCGCGCTAATCCGTACCGGCGCCCTGGGTGAATACCATCCAGCCGCCTTCGCATGTACTGCTTCCATTCTTCCTCATTTCCCAGCTCTACCCTGGGTGGGTAATGTGAGAGCTCAATTGCTTCAAGAAAAGAGATCCCTGCCCAAGCCGGTTCTCCCTCCGGGGAATATAGTCCATGACCATTATTACGGTTTCCGCGGGCTGCAGATGCGCGATTCGTGGCAACAAAGCCAAATCGTGGACCAAGCACGTCGTCGCCAGGGATGTCGTGTCCCATGTTAGAGTAATATATACTAAAAGTAGCTGCCAGGGGTATAGTCTAACAGTATATCTAGGAACCGCATAACATCGGACGCGCCCCCGTGGAATAGTGCTTCTCCGACTTCGGCCATAGCGTTGGCATACCCTGGCCTCTGATCATTCAAGACGCCTGCGGCGTACAGCATGGCTATTACCGCTACCCCACGTCTCGCATCAAGATTCCGCGAGGGGTCTTCGACGCATCCGGGGTTCTCTGTTGGCCACGAGATTACCTGGATGTGTGTCAACATGAAAATGAGCCCAATGCTAATACTATTTTTCCGATTAGATTCTCAAGTGCCTGGTGCCGTGATCTACCAACTAGCTTCTAATTTCCGTACTATCACGTCGGTAATACAAGACACAGCGTGACTTTTATCTGCTGATAATTCTTTGGGTAAAAGGTATAGCGTTACCCTACCACTGATGTGGTTATCCTTTCAGCCCCTTCTCGCTGTTTTTTGGAATCATAGCAAGGCCATTACCCGCAATGTATATATAAGCAGCAGGTGCTGTCCACTCACTACATACGCCCTCGCTCGCCTGTGGCGTGTTACTCAAGATGCAAAATGTTCCATACCCTCAGAACACGATCCTTCACTCGTCTGCTCGTTTTCCAGAATCAAATCGACAGACTTCGCCCGCCATAATCAACTCTTTATACGGGATCCCTGGTTGCAAATTCTCGCTAATTGGCTTCAGGGGTTTGCTACTACCGCCATGCCACCTTTTCACTTCCTGCGAATACGCATCCAATACATCACTTGGCATCCCCCTCGCCAACAATCGGTCCCGGATGTCGTTCGCCCATGTTTCTGCGGTAGCGTAGCCACAAAATGCGCTTACCTCTTGAGCCAAGTTTCCTGCCAATACATCTTGCGCTTGCGGTCCCGTCATCCCAGTAAGTAGATACTGCGGAAGCAATTGCGCTCGTTTCTGGATCTCCGTACTGGTTGCCGAGTTCGGTCCGCGCTTTGCCCATGGGGCCTCGCATTGCTTCGGCTGTGTAAATGGATTATTTTGCAGTCATAAAGGAGTGCCGCCATCATGTCCGATTACTGAATTTAGCTTGCGTCACTGGCTAATTAGCACACGCCACTGCTATGCCTATTGCCTGGCGCTCATTTTGGCCAAGGGCCCACTCTCGGACTAGCGGCCACACAACCAACAGGGCTACGGTATCAATTGGCTGGAGCCATTTGATCGGGACCAATGACGCAAAGCTCGCGCCCTTCGACTGATAGCATAGCTGCTGCACTCGCCAGTTTTCCTGTTGGTGTACAATAGGTAAGAAAGTAACTCACTGCCTAGGTGTCATACTATATCATGGGAGTTCAATGTATATTCGTAGATTGTGTAATACCGACGCAGGCCAAGAGTCCGCGTCTTTTGTGCACAGGTGCCACGTGTCGTTGGCAATCCCGTATATCACAGTCATGACCACATCGCGCGTTGGCTTGCCATCCGCATCAACTGGGCCAACTGGGAACTCAGGCCCGTAGTTCAATTCCGCAGTAAGAGACCTCGGCGACAGGGCGCCGTGGTTATAGGAACTTCCCCCAAAGGCCCCTGCTAGGCCAGATTGTGGTGGCGAGCGATTGCTTCCCTGGCTAGCGGGGGGCGTCCCGTTACCAAATGAGATACCTGGCCCGATATTCACGGAAGTTTGACTGTGAAATCCCGCTCCGGGTGGTAGGTGGCCAAAGCCCATATTTCGGCGTTCCAGGTGCCCGCTCTGAGGGGGCGGCCCCTGCGCGTTTACAGAGATCGGCGTGACTCCACCGCGAGCATTGTTCGTAGAGCCGTTGCAACTGGCTTACAGGCCCAACCCGTGTTGACTGCCGAAGCGCAATGAGTCTGGACGTCCTGCGATGGCCGAGACAGAGCCGGCAAGAATTTTGCTATATTGCGAACTGGCCATAGTATCATAAGCCGCGCTTGCCGGGTTGCGACTAATCCAGTCGGGTACCTGCATTCCGTAGGGCCGACTCCGGGTCTCAGGAGATGGGTGCGGTGTTTTCTGCCGACCATGGACACTTTTCTATCTCCATGCCTCCGGTTGCGCTGCGACCTATGTTATGAATACCGGATGAGCCATACAAATTACACGGGCTGCACGCCTCTCGAACACGATGTCAATTGAATATTCTATATCCATTACTGACGCTAGGTATATCCGGCACCTGGCCGCCGGGGGTATACGGTATGGAGCCGGTTCCTACGTCGTCCCTTTCCAATGCGAACGAAGGCACCTGATATTGGGATCCAATATTTGCACCGCGATCAACTAAATTCCTACCTTAGTGTATTCCTTGGAATCTACATCCATGATTCCAGAATTACCTCACTCGCCAATTCTTGCCGCAGCCGGCGACTCTCCGCTTCCATTGCCAGGATTCGCGCATTCTCTTAGAGCAGCCACAGTCACGGTGTATACAGATGCCGGCAAGATACCCGCAACACCCCAACGCCGACACCCGCATACTCAGGGTTCTCTACTGAGTGACTGTTGCTAGTAGTCTAGCCATAAAATCTGGCATCCGCTTGCTGTGCCTCAGTATCCCTGGCCCTGGTGTCTTGTCTACGCTTCGCGATCTTTTACTCGTTACTCTAGATTCTTGGCGCTGAATAATCAGGCAATACCTAGTAGGCCCGCTTGTAGCTAATCCTGTTACGCTTGAACAAATGCGCGTAGCATGATACACATCTACAGTGACTGAATTGCAACGCTATGGCCTAACCGTATTACAGATCCAGTTCCAGACTGCCAGGCTCTTAGTTACACGATCTCTGGATCACTTTCCTATTGCGTGGATTTCATGTCTTAGCATCCGGGCCGTCGGATCCTGTGGCATCTCTTCATCCTTTCTATTCGACCTCGATGTGTATCCCAGAAATGCGTCTACGTTCTCGGTGTTATATTTACTGTGACCCAACGGCGCGACACGGTCCATATAGATAACATTCATGCACCTGGTACATCCCCAATTCACATTCCTTGGATATCACGAATCGTTCTACCCGCTACAGCATTGACCTTGACGCTCGCTGATCACGTATTAGCATTCTTCTCTAAGTTGCGGCAAAAGATTCACACCTAGGTTTCCACTCACATTCCTATTACCCGCGTCTTTTGAAATCACCAAGGCTTGCGAACACGTTCCCTATCTTTTGCCTCATCAACCACCCCGCAAGGCTTTTAAACTATTTCTCGTTGTATTAGATGCACTGTCTTTCACCCTGAGACCGAGTCCGAGCCTCCTATTGCCGCCTCTTGTCTACTCTTCTAACGCCACACCCGACTGCAAACTCTCTGCTGGCGATACCCGAACTGCCTTACTCGCTTCCGAGTACTGGTATCCACGTAGGTGCTCAAGTCCCAGCCCCTCGCCGCGGCTCTGCTCTCGATAGCATATGAACCTTCCCAATTTCTACTCACCAAAATTCTCGCTTCCCAATGTTGGGGAATTCCTGAGGGCCCATGGTTTTGTCCTTCAACATTGGGAAGCGAGAATTGTTGGCTGGTAGAATGTTTGCTCAAAATACAAGACTCTAGAAACCGGCAATCGAGAATTCATGGTTGGTAGAGTCGTTTCTCGGAATGTTAGATTCTAGAGCTTGGTATTGAGATATGAAGTCTAGTATGTCAGACGAGGCGAAGATGTGTGGGGCGTAAGCATCTGAAGACCAAGGCGAGTAGCGTCTGGTAGTAAAGTAGCCAGGGCTCCAAGTTGTTCAGTAGCCAGCCGGTAATTCTCCAAGGCGCAGGATCGGGAGCCGGAAAATGCAGAATCGTAATAAGCGGTAATCCGAGTGACAAGGTTCAGCAGATGGGTGCGGTTTTTCACGGCTAGGGCGTCCAGCGTTGTTGATGGCGTCGCATAGTGCGCGTCCGTGAGTGCAGTCGGTATTAGAAGTAGGCGCTGAGAAATGGAGTTGCAATCCAAGGAGTCATCTCCGAGAAGTGTGAATTTGAGTGATAAGTGAATCATAACAAAGTAGCAGTAAGTCCACGTAGCGGCGTCGGGAGTGGAATGCGGTGCAATTCTTTGACGAGTGCAGGTTGGGCTGTGAAGTATGCTGGGTTCTGACGCGCCTCCTCGAAAACGGCATCGAATTGCCCTGGATTAAGTCGCTGAGAAAGCCAGAAGTCTTTGGCTCGAAGTCCTTGAGCGTCATCCAAGGCTGAGCTCCGTAGCCAATGGTAGAAGAAATGGCCCCAATGCGCAACGACCGTGGTCACCCGGGTCTGGAGTACCAGCGTGCGTAGGCAGGATTCGACGGCTGCGCGTGGTGTAGTATTTCCCAGAAGTGCCGTCAATGCAGCGGCTGCATTTGGCCAATGTGCTGCAGTTGCAAGCGTCTTTATGACGGGGACCAGTTCCGAGTCTTGGCACGGGGGCCAGTTGTTCACGACAGTAGCGGGAGACGGCAGATAAGCCGTAGAGCTCGGCACGTTGGGCGGCGGCTGTAAGGAATCAGTGCGCATTGCCGATTCATGGACTCCAGGCCCGTTACCCCAGGACGACCATAACTCATCAAAGGCTCGGGCTGCGGTTGATATGGGCGGCAGTACAGCAGTCGGCTGCTGTTGCCCTACGCCGGCAGCAGGTCCACGCACACCCGGGCAGCAAATCACAGGGACCTAAGAATTAAAGAAGGCGGATGGACAGCGGCTGATTACATGGGGTCGCGCAATGTAATACAGATCAGATATCCGCGATCTATAGGTACCCAAAGGCCATGACTTAAGAAAAATGCTAAATGTAACACGAGC